TTTATTTATTTAATTTTTTATTAATTTAATTTAATTTTTAATTTTTAAAGTTGTTCATAAACTTTTGTCCACCCACTGTATATACAGTATATTAATTAATTCTCTTTTGATTTTACAGCTATATAAGCTAAAAATATAATATAAAAAATAACTTATCATATATTAATATAAGTTTCAAAAATTTCCTAATATTAAATTATTTGAATATATTACTTTCTTAAAGATTCAATATTAAAAATATTGAATATTTAATTATCCTCTTATCTCTATAAAATAGATATACTCTTTAATAAAAATAAATTAACAGATTAGATAATTTAAACTAATAACAGAAATTTACTTTTGTATTAGTTTATCTTATATATAAATCTATTAACAAAATGTAAGTTTATATAGCTAGATTAAAAAACAATAGACTATAATTAAATTATTTATATAAAAGATTATTAATTTTTTTATTATAAACTTTGTTTAATTAAATCATATATCTAATACTTATTTACAAAAAATTTGATTTTTTTTTATAAATTCTTTTAAATAATATTTGTTGTTAATTTGTATTTATTAAAATATCTTACAAATATTATTATCTAATGCATTATATGAACTCTTTTTAAAATATTTTATATTAAACTTTTAATTAAATTTTAGAAATAATAATTTTTTATTAATTATATTGATTTATACTGATTTATAAAAACAAAACAAAATATTTTTAATAGACAATTGATATTTGATTGATAAAAAAGAGATTTTAATATTATATAAATTTTTTAAAACTTATAGTTTAAAGAAATTATTTTTTACTTAAAGTTACTTGAGAAATCAATTGATTATTATAAAAATAAAGAATAATAACAATGATTTATTTAAATTATTAAAAAAATATTTTATTTCAAATAAGCAATTTTAGCAAAAAGATTCAAAAATATATTTAAAATACAATATATTATTTTTTATTAAAATACATTATAACAATGCCAATATACTAGTGAACTAAATTTTAAATATAATAAATAATAGTCTAAATGATTAAAATTTCTAATAATAATATTTCAATATTAAGTTAATACTATATTAAATTTATTATAAGTTAATATTGTTTTAATATTAGTTTAAAATTCTATAAATAGTCAAATTTTCATAGATATTAAATAATATAGCAGATTTAAAGAAATATAGTTTGAATTTTTTTGTAATTTAAACAAACAAATTTATATTTACATTTGTTTCTTGGAAGAAAGATTGCAATAAATATGTTTTCTATATTTTGAAACAAATTGAAATGTTGATCCAAGTTAAAAAAAAACAAATTTAATTTTATATTTTAATTTTTTTTTACAGATTAATAATTTTAATAATAAATATTTCTTAATATTGCTTAATAAGAAAGTAAAAAAATCTGTATAATTTATATATCAGACAAAACTTATAGCAAAAAATTTTTTATAAAAGATTATTAAATTTTATAAATCAATTTATATAATAAAAAAATATATTGATTATATTATTTATTCTATTTGTAATGTAATCAAGTTTTTCAATTGTTAATGCTGAATATAAATTAGTAATTAGTAAACCTATAATTAAATCAATAATTTTTCAATAAACTTGTATCTTATTTATTTCAGAAACTATGAAAAAAGTATATAAAATAATTTCTTTTTTTTTTATACTGACAAATTTATAAACTTAATTTTTTCTTGATCTAATAAAATTTTTAACAACAATAATAAGATATATATTTTACTATAAGTTATTATTTGATATGTTATGAATTAATATCATTTTAACTTGGCTTATAGTTGATAACATAATACTGAAAGTAGTTAATCCAATGAATATAAAATTTTCTGCATTAAATAAAAAATTCAATCCAATATTAAAGAATATCTATGTAAGTTATTATTTGAATTTCTTAAAGTTTTTTATTAAACTTTTTTCAAATTATTATTTTCAAGATAAAAGCCTGGTAAGACTCTAAAACTATTGTACTGTTTTTAATATCTATTAGAATCCACTTATCATTATTATAGATACTATTGCATTTTGAATTAAGAAGTTCTTATTTATCTTTTTTTATAGATTTTTTATGATATTTTATGCTAAGATTCAGAAGTAATATTTGTCTATGATTTTAGCTATAGATAACTGGTTCACTACTTAGTATATCAATGTTTTTATCAACCAGAAATCTGATGATGAAAAAAAACTCCACAATCCATAAGATAATTAATGCAATAAATAAGATAGGTACTTTACAATAGGTACTTTATTTGAGTTTTACTTATCAAATAATATTTATTTATTACAATATCCAAGAATCACAAAAAAACATTTGGAAATCGAAAAGTAAAGTAAACAAAACTCAGATTACTCTGGTTATCCTACCATTCCATCCTGATAATTTCGCATATATACTTACAAAAAATGAAAAATGAAAATGAGTATATATGAATAAATGAATGTACACATGACTTAGCAATGACCAATACTGTAGTAGTAAAATGACCTGGTTCGAGAGGATCGATGTGTCACATATTACTGTACAGTATATAGGTATAGGTAGCGTGTTTGATCGATTCATGATGTAATATGCGTTGCGCACATGTTAGCAAGAACCAATAAAACTTGCCAAGTCACTTGATCCGAGTTTTACTTGCCTCATTCATATGTCCTTCGCGATACTCGGACATTGTGATAATCTATTCATATAAAAAAAAACAACACGAGTTTTTTCTCGATATATGATTTTAAAATATTTTTATTTAATAACAGTGTGAATATGATGCCTAGCTAGTATGAACAGCAAAATTAATGTTCAGACTCAGCGAGATGATAATAATTTCGGTGCCAGTGTTTAGGTGTCGAATCAACCATTTTGAATTTAGAGCATAATTCAGTCTTTAAATGCATCCATATAGCTCTGACTTGCATTATTTGATCTTCATCCGGGTTTTTTCGTTCCAGAAGTTGCCACCATTCGGGATAATACTTTTTAGTGTATTCTTCAAACAGAAGTTCTTCGTCATTCTGTCCAATGTAATGGTATAGATAGTTATCAGGTTCGTTACATATTAGCAAATAGGCATTATTTGTTTTATGAGCTTGAACACCCGTAAAACAACCCATTAAATGAAACGATGCTCTGTGATTTGTGTTAATTTCATGTTCCGGCAATTCGCATTTTGAGCTATAAAGTAGAAAATCCAAATATTAATGAGTGACTACAGTATTCTAATCGTATGGATTCATTTGTGAGAATGAAACTTGCCTACAAAACGGGCATATATGTCTACATCCAATAATTTCATCCGAATATGATAGCTTAAAGTTTTCCACTTCCATAACCATTGATTTCCTACAGTCATCCGCCCCTTTTTCTTTCCATGAGTTTTGAAATTCCGTTACGTATTTATTGTATTCTTCTTTTAATATATCATAAAAATCTTGGGGAGAACTGATGGCGCATTTCCCAAGAATACGTATTGCATCCTCTATTAAATTCTCCGCGCTTATTTTTTTGTAAGACTCAAATGATGAGGGTTCAGCATCATTTCTGATTTCTGTCTTCTGAAAAATTTCCTCAAGAGTAAAATTTTCATATAGTGTGGTCGTAGGAACTCGTTGTTGCCAATCTGATATGATCTCGCCAAGCTCTCTTAAAGCATCATCCATAGCCTTTTTAATTTCTTCTAATCTTCTTTTGATTTTTGCATTTTTAATCAAGTCGATCTCTTCATTAAATAATTTCGTCATAAATAATATAGGATTATTAATATAATCACGAGATTTCTCGACATTATAGGTGCCGAAACTCCGTTCATAAGCATAACGGGTGAAATTTCTATCTTCACTCATCCAATGATTTTTTGAATATTCCTTCAACACTTCCCGAATAAGTTGTTGCTGAATAACTAATGTTATCTCTACAGATTGCGAAACATATCTAAAAAGTTGAGTGGCAATATTTTCATAAGATGAATTACTTAAAATATCATGAAAGCATTTCAGTAAATCTACACAAAGTTTTTCAAGATTATCTTGCTGAGAACGATTCCATCTCTCGGTATTATATACCAATGTATCAAAAACCTGAAGACGCAAATATTGCTAAAAAAAAGGGGGTAGAAAATACTTAAATATCATTATTATATACACGATAAATTTGATATTATAATGAGGAATATAAAATATGGTGTCGTAGTTACGTACCTCTATCGAACTATAATCGTTGATTTCAATAGTGAACCTACTGAAGTCGGTAATTACATTGTAAATATTGTCGCATAATTTTCTCAACCAGTCTAGAGGTTGGTTAAATTCGATTGCAAGTGCATTCCTGGATCGAAGTTCATTGCATATTTGTGCACTAGTTTCTTCAATTTTAGCCTTAATCCTGTTTACGACTGTTTTCTTAAACTCGTCGCTGCTATTATCATACCTATTATACCATTTGATTTTTACTTTGACATTGTCGACAAACTGATCTAAAAAGCTCGATCTAATTAAAGTTGCTGGTTTTAAGAGTTTTTTCCAAAATATTTTGTCAAACTTTTGTTTTTCTTTTGCATCGTCTCTGTTGTTATTAGTTATTCCACATCCATTGATAATTGCTTCGTTAAACGAGTTGACTACATGTTGTTCTAAACTTTTTATTTCCTTTGTCATTGTTCGTAAAAAAGCATCTTGATCCTTTTTTACCTCTAACCATTCTTCGTTAAATAATTCATCGCATTTTGATTCAGAAAAAATTGTCTTGAACTCTTCGGGAGTTTTTTCTTTATTGTCACTCAAAATTTTTCCAACTTTTTTACCAATCCGCATTTCCGCTGATTTAATTAACCAATATTCTTTAGATTCCCT